AGGGTGGAGGGTCAGAGAAAAAGAGGAAGACCCCCAACGAGATGGATTGGCCAGGTGGCATCATTGATGGACTCAAGTGTGGCAGCGATAGTGAGGTTGGCCCAGGATCGGACATTATTTCGTTCTGCTGTGCATGGGGTCGCTATGAGTCGGTTCCGACTCGATGGCACCTGACAACAACAACAACAGTGCACACAAAACTTTTGTTTACATTATAAAGTCTAGTAAGTGTGCAATGTTGTTATTGTTATTAAGTTCCGTAACGTCTGTTCTGACTCATAGCGACCCTGTTTCTGAAGAGCAATTGGTGGGTTTGAACTGCCGACCTTGTGATTTGCAGTTCAGTGCTGATCCTACAGCGCCACACCAGGAGTTCAAATGTGCAGCAGCATTATGAAAAAGCTTGAAATATTGTGGGAATTACCAAAATTTGACACAGAAACTAGAAGTGAGCACATGCTGTTGGAAAAATGGTGCCAACAGACTTGCTCAATGCAAAGTTGCCACAGACCTTCCATTTGTAAGAAATATGACAAAGCTCAATAACACATGGTATGCCTGTATGAGTGGGCTTCAAAAAGTTCAGGAAAAAATTCCGCTATTGTTTTATTCCATTTTTCTACAAATTTCTGAAAGCCTCCTCGTACTTGCAATTATGAAGTAATACGCACTGTGCAATAATGTGACTTTTGCTTTTTTTTTTTCTATTTTATCCACTAATCCTCTTAGTATTTTTGTTGTTTAGTGCAATCAAGTTGGTTCTGACACATAGCAACCCTGTAGGGCTTCCGAGGAGCAAGTAGTAAGTTTGAACCACCGACCATTCAGTTCAAAATGACCTTGCAGTTTATCTTACAGCGCATCATGAAATACAGAAGCAGAAGTGTGGGACTTACGTCATAGTTGCTCCTGGATCTGCAGTCATTTGATTGGTCACAAACACAGCTACATTATATTCTGTATCAAGAGATAAAATTAAGAAAGAAGAGAAGGACAATATAAGTTAAAGTTAATTGCTTAGATTTCAGAGTTTAAGAATACTGCCCCATTATTTTATTTCATAAACAGAATCTATGACTATTTTTCATTATTAACAGAAATTAATTTGTTTAAAGTTATTATTATTATTTATATGCCTTGTGGTATTAGTACCAATAAATTTGGTCAATAAAAATAATTGTATTTCCATGAAGGTAATATTATTACTGTTTAGAAAAATATTATTTCCTGCTATATCTTAAGCTTCTCTGTGAAGCCTATGTGGAAACCATAGTCATGGATGCTGTTCTGGTAGCTTTGTTATATTTACAAGATCTACCTTCTGAGATTTTTTGGAGTCGTGATAACATCTGGGCTAGTTTTTGCTGCCGTTCAGCCAACTCCCCACGGCCACTGAAATCCACTCGAAAAAGTGCCATAATTGAGTCAATGATCTGTATGGGAATCATGTAAAAGTAAATGTGCTTTTGGAAATAGAATGAAGATGTTAATTTGAATGGAGATTAACAGAAGAAAAATAAATAGCTTTGTGAGAGTGCAAGACTTAAAAGCTTGTACCAATAGCTTAAAGATGCCAGCTTCCTCATGGAATTTTGCTGCTACATAATCAAGTAGCTCCATCTGATGTTCACCTGGTGGGAAATGCAGTGAGACAATGTTATGAAAGCTACAAGAAGCCGAAGACTAAAATCATTCATGTCTTTGAGAGCCAGGCAAAATCTGTCAAACTCTGGTCCATGAAGGATTCTCTTAAATGATTTATGACTTGATTAGATATGATTTCACACTATCTTAGCATATTAGGGCGCTTCAAAATGTTCATGTGAAAATAGAATTGCAAGATAATGGAATTTTTCTATAAACTTTTGAAGCTCCCTTGCACAGGTCCAATGCTACATTACCCCTCCCTCCCCAAATATTATTCTCCATTTCAAAGACAAAGACTAAAAAATAATTTGTTGTTGCTGCTGTTAAGTGCTGTCGAGTCAGTTCCCACCCATAGTGACCCTGTGTAGGGTTTCCAAGGATTGACTGGTGGGTTCGAACATTGTAACATTCTGTGATTAATAGATGACAAAAATCTAGGGACTGAATAAATTTAGAGAAAAATGAAGTAAAAAAAGTGTCAAAATGTTGCAAGCATCACTCAAATAGTAAGTCAGTGCTGCCAACCTTAAACCCAGTCATCCAGTTGCATGGGGCTCTTACTAGTATATGCACGTGCATAAAGCACATTGTCCAGTACAGCATCGTGGTCTACGTTGAAGCGATCAGCAATGTCCCGGAGGCGATCTGGACGGCTGGAGCATGCCAAGATTAAGGATCCAATTAATCAATTCCAAAAATCATTCAAACAACTACTACCTTAAGTAAGAATGAGAGGAAAAACAACATGCCTGCAAAGGTATTCTGGAGGATATAGTCTAATAATCACTTCAAGTCTAGCTATACTAGATTTTATTTTTCATAAGTGCCTCAGTTCAAAAATACCCTAAGTGGAGGTAACAGTCATAGAAATGATGGAGTAGTAATGAATTTCACTATTATCAAATCTTTATAATAGCTTTGTTGTTGTTGTTGTTAAGTACCATGGAGTCGTTTCGACTCATAGAGACCCTGCACAGGGTTTCTGAGGCTATAAATCTTTACATGGGCAGAACACCTCATCTTTCTCCCTCGGAACCGCTGGTAGTTTCAAATTGCTGACCTTGAGGTTGGCAGCCCGAATAATAGCATTGGAAACTAGTTATTATGGCCTATATTGTGGCACTATAGGAAAAGCACTGGACCACAAGGTTGAAGGGTCACACTCACCTCAGAAACCCTATACAGGGTAGCTATGAGTTGAAAATGACTCGACGGTATTTAACAACACCAACAAATCTTGTGTTGAGGAGCTCTAGGCTCTGTGGGTTAATGTGCTGGACTATGAGGTTGGTTTGAACCAAAATGTTGGCAGTTCAAGCTCACCAGCCTCTCCTTGGAAACCCTATATGTTGTTGTTGTTAAGTACCGTGGAGTCGGTTCTGACTCCTAGTGACCTACACAAGGCTTCTGAGGCTGTAAATCTTTATGAGAGCAGAAAACCTCAACTGTCTCCTGCGGGACGGCTAGCAGTTTCAAACTGCCGACCTTGAGGTTAGCAGCCCAATTTGTAACCAATACGCTACCAGAGTTGGCATTGACTTGATGGCATTTAACAACAACAACAAGTAGTATAGTGGATGACAAGTTGGGTTGCTAACTGCAAAATCAGCTGTTCAAATATGCCAGCTGCTCCATGGGAGAAAGATGAGGCTTTCTGCTCCCATAAAGATTTACAGCCTCAGGTTGCAATGAGTTGGAACCAACTTCACAGCACATCACCAGCACACCAATCTTGTGTTACCAACAAGTGACAAACTCAACTACAGGAACCCAAGAATCAAAAAAGTAGTTTCAATGGTCCGAAAGGGTACTACCAGTCCAGGGTATTTGGTTTATTTAGAGTATGAAATTCATCTTTGGACATGTTATCAGGGACCAGT